TAGTTCCATTCTAAAACACAACTCGGAGTTAGATCAAGTTCTCAAACAATTAGGACAGGCTCAGGAACATAGGGTCGTTTCATAGGGATTGCGTAGTAATACTGTTCGAGACAGAGCTTAGGGCTGTCCTATTATCTGATGTACATATATACCCAGCGTGAAGGAGTATTCTTCTTCACGCAACGTCTTCTGTTTATACTCATACCTATTGTTCACTTACTTATCTCTTCTCTAAAGAAGACCGCCGTTATTGTACCCTTCTCACCTACTACTTATTTTACCTTTACTTCATACGTGAGCCCTATACCTAACGCTGAATTTATACCTCCTACTCATAGGAATCACCACCATACTCCACACCTGTAATCTACTTGTACCAAATTCGTACCCTACGGAATACTAGTAACACGGCTCCTTGAGAGATTTAGTGCCAACTGCATAGCATGAGACTCGGTGGACGGACGACCTCTATGTATACTATAATCTTCGAGCGCAGGATGATAAGATCATGGCTATCATTTGCTCTGTTGGGTCTGTGTGGGTGCCAACACGTCGGGTAGTTTAATTTAGACTGGGCTTACTGCTACGTGGGGAGCTCACGTGCTGTGCGCGGGCACGACGTTTAATATTATAAATAAATATATAAGATATTAAGGAAATAATGAGCCCTCAGTCATTGAGGTTGTAGAGCGCATTGATTCAAGTAGCTACCAAAGTGAACCTAAGTACAGAATTTATAGTCACGTGCATACCAACAACGTGGCCTACTTGATAGCCCCAATTATACTAAATACTAATATAAGACTCTACAAGAGTTACCTTTCCTCTTTGTAGACAATCTCAATCAACAGATTAGACCTTGTCAATCCCCCCTATGACCTTTACCCTGATACAGCTCACCTTGAACAGAGCTAAGTAGCTGTATTTGTATTTGTATTGGATGCAGGGGCGACTTTTTAGTATGCTGAGAGCATATTTGTTGGCTAGTCTTAGATGTCCCACCTTCACAGGTAGAAGGGCGGCCTCTACTTCTAAAGCCTTAGAGGGGCTGCTAGAGTAAGCGCCGGTGACAAGGACTACTGCTTGGTTCTGTAATTTCTTACATTTCTCAATGAGATGAAGTGATCGGCGCTTCCCATACCATAGGATAGAGCCATAATTTAGCACTGATGTCATACTGGCAATATAAAGTTGTCGAAGTTGATTGAATTTGATTCCTTTAGTTGAAGAAGCAAGGTTCTTAAGCCTAAGAAGAGCTCCATCTGCAAGCTGCATTCTCTTGTCAATATGGGGTTTGAATGATAGCTTGGAATCAAACCATATTCCTAACCATCTGACAACGCTACTAGGGTTAAGTTGGATTCTGTTACGGGCTGTGCCCGGATTAGGACTGGTCACTAGGACCAACCCGGCTAGATCTTTAAGCGCCAACAAAGCAGCGCTTACAGAGACGCGAAAGGTTGCATGGGGAAGAATGCAAGGATACGCACAAAGAGGGATCCAAGTGCCGCATAAGGATAATTGCAAGGTTGCGCATGAGGAAGGACCCAAGGGAGTACGTACTAAGGGGGGGATGATGTCACAGGAAAGAGGGTAGCCGGGGAGAATGGAGTATTCTCAGGTAGGCTAGGAGGGGAGCTTAAACGCGACGCTGAGGAGGACATAAAGGACAGGAGCCGTCGTAGGCAGATTAGCTTCCTAAGGAAAAAATATCAATTCCTATTGAGTTAACGTCTTTCAAGTACTTCTGAATTCTTTAAACCCTTTACCAGTTCCTCGAATTGTTATTGGAGTTTCAATAGCCACTCTCTTCCGATGGAAATGAATTAGCTCGGTTGTTTCGACCACAGAGGTGACTGAGAGTTCCTGGGATCCTATAGCCAGAGTTTCAATTGAAGCTTCCAAGGCATGGATATCCTTTTCAATCGAGAAAGAATCAGTAGATATAGATGTAAGGGTCGTAAGATAGATGTTATTCACGAATTATCTAGATCTAGATTCTCGGGGATGAGGGTTTGATAGTGTTCCACGGGGTGCGTTGTATAGCCTAGTAAAGATCTAGGTGGTAATTGAAGGTTCTAAATGGGTCAAAGGAATGACAGGTCTTCTCTAGGAAGAGATGAATGGGCAACTAGTTGCAGTAGGTGTTACACGTGGGTCTTGCTGATGAAGAACTGAGCAATGGATAAATGGTCTTCCCGAAGAAGAGATGGGTAAACAAATGTATTGTAAAGGGTAAATAAAGAAGACGTTGCGTGAGGAGTAAATCTCTCTCACGCCGAACTATTATATACAAGAGTAGAAGCCTTTGCCAACCGGAATTAATCGTAATCAATTCTTGCCAATATCTTCGCATTAATGGCTGTGTTCTTGTCCTTCTCTTCATGACTCTCTTGCATATCCTTACATGACTTTTTACACGACTAATTGTATAGGGGAAGCTATTATTAAATTGATGTCTTTAATTAACTACCCCTTCATCTTATCACGAATTAAAATTAGTATTAAAATTCTAATTACGGATCCGTGAAATAGGTACAGAAGAGAAGCTTCAACTGGAGAAGAGGTTAACTGGGGGAGCCCACTATATGAATAATCTGGCTTTATGCCAAGGTTTCGAGTTAAGAAAATAAGGAGAATAATATGAAGAACAGGATGTGGGGGGTATCTCTTGCCCAAGTGCCTAGTTGCTTGGCTTCTCTGCATTCCGCTCGAGTTAGCTCTATCACCACTTAACCATGCAGCCAGAACGATGCAGGATGTTTGGGATCCCAATCATCCTTCAGGCTTATCTCATATTAATCCTTCAATATTCAGATGACATGTGCTTATGCCAGAGTTGTGCTAGGCTCGAGGCAATGACAATCACATGGTAAAGCAGTGACTTTTTGAACAATTGTTGCTTTAATTCTCCCTTCTCTAAAATTGCGGAAGACCTCGATAAGATCTAACGCTGAATCCTGATTTTCTGTAATGGACGATCAACAAAACAATATAGTAAAAGAATGGTGGCCGATTACTGTCTATTTTCTACACACATCTCGGAACTGTCCACCGAGGGGAGGCTACTTAAGGTGTCCCAACTCCCAATGCGCCAACCTCACTATCTGTTCTACTACACCATATCCTTGATATTCTGAGTAGACACGTCATAGCGAGTCTGAGTCGTGTCGGCCCATGATTCCACATGAGATTTGCTGCAACAATATCCTGTTCCAATATTTGTTGAAAGCCTGTATTTGTATGGCCAAGTTGGTTATCTCTTTAGATAGCAAGGCTAATGACGTAATAATGATAAGTGTCCGTGCGACAGTCACCAGGAGATAGGCGCAGCCAGTAGCATATTTGCAATCTTTTAGACAATAAGCCTAAATCAAAAGATCTCGTGGTTTTTGACCTGAATCGATTGGCAGAGTCAAAAAAGTAAGCAGGCTCTCCAAGGGCATGAGGTCGTGCCAAGCCTGAATGTAGTAGTAGTAGTATTTTTTTATTTTTTTGCATCAGATTTTAATTGTGTAGTAGTAGTAGTACAGCGTGAAGTAGAGACAAATTGCCCCAGATTACCCACTGCCCCCGTTCGATATCAATAATCCCCCCCATTACCCACACTACGCCGAGAAAACAAACCAAGCAAAAGCGTGCCGCCAGAGAATCCACCTCAAATTCCTACCATTAGAGCCCAAATCCTCCCGGAATAATCCTCCGGCCGTGGCGGCTCGATGGAGTTGCGACCAGCCTGTTGGTCTCATTCCCCTCACTGTGCACTACGAGTTCAAGTGTAGGCGACACAAAGCCCAAGCCACGCCATAAACAATTTTGGCGCCTTCTAGACATATGAAACTGCCAAATCACTACTTGTGCCCATGCCATACAGCAGCGCATGTACGTGATAGGTAGCCTGAAGTGCTGGCCCATTGCTCGTTCCAACCTCTGACTACACACAAGATCGTGTCGGGAACCTAGAAAAAATGGGGGGGGGGGCCACACGTCTTCAAAACTCTGTGTCTCCATTTCCAACAATACATCAGCGTGATTTTCTGAAGTCAAGTATGAATAGTGAACATTGAATTTATTGTATAGATTTGCTCTCAATGTAAGTGACAACTTTCTTTCTCAAATTTAAGAAGGCATTTGGATATCTATCAGATAAGATGGCGTGCTTGACATCTATCCAAGACCTAATTGATATACTTTGTCTTGGAAAATGAGTCACTTAGTGCTTTGGATGTCTGGGTCCTCCATTTCGTCTAGGTTCCCAACGCGATCTTGTGTGTAGTAAGAGGGTTGGAAAGAGTAATCGGCCAGCACTTCAGGCTACCTATCACGTACATGCGCTGCTGTATGGCATGGGCACAAGTAGTGATTTGACAGTTTCATATGTCTAGAAGGCGCCAAAATTGTTTATGGCGTGGCTTGGGCTCTGTGTCGCTTACACTTGTACTCGTAACGCACACTTCCAGCTCTACTTGTTGCAATCCTAATATGATACTCCTTTAGTCAACTTTTACTTTCGTTCCATAAATCTTGCGCCCAGTTAATTGCGCGATATTTCCAACATGGATTGGAGGTCAAGCGGCTAGAGCGCAACCAGCTTCTAAATTTTCGACATCTCCCTTTTAATGTGTCAGGAAAATAAATGAAGATAAGGCGACCAATCTAAATCCCTTACATCTCTATGAATAGTCAAAAAGCCTATTTTCTGGACAATTATTCACCGTAGAGGCCGAGTGGGACTAGGCAATTAAAGTTCCCAGAAAGGCATAATAAGACGTACTTAACATGGATAAGTTAACATTGTTAATGCCTCATAATTACCATACTTCAAACATGGTTGATTGAGCCTGCCAAGCTACAATTTGGCTAAAAGGAATGAATATCTACTGTATTCTGAAATCATCAAGAAGCCAATTCGATTTCTATACTTGATTTTCATCTATTTTCGGATTCCAGAATTTCCTAGCTTGAGATTTGGAATAAACACACCCACAGAACATTCTACAATGAAGTTTTTCACCATCGGTAGCGTTTCCGCGCTCTTCTGCATCTTAGGGCCAGTGACAGCCATGTCAAATAAAAGTAAACAACAGCCATTACCAGTGCCCAAGCCGAACCAAGAATTCACCATGTCTTGCCAAAATGGGAACAGTTACGAAAAATTTCAACTCGTCCTAGCAGTTCAAACAGCCAAACAAGTCATGGGTCCCAATAATACACACAATGGTTATCCTTTTAGATTAAATTGGCCTCCGTATGAAATTCCCGGACAATTGTGGTATTATCCTGTTGCAGGTAATGATAGAATCCATGAAATTTAGTTGCTTTCCAAGTTCCTTGATATTAACAAATGGCTATAAATTTAGAGGGCCAAGGTATACAAGATTTCGTTGTATTCAACACAGACGATCAGATAGCGGGCGTAGTTACCCGCCATGTTTTTAATGGCCAAGAAATCTTCAGACCTTGTGAAATCATTTAAGTAATTGTCCCTCAACACATTCTCTTGACATGTATTGATATGACTAACTATGTTTGTTAGAACTTTGAGTTGATGAATGATGTTGAGCTCCTCTACATACAGCATAATTGGGTAGTTGAAATGATGTGTTGGACACTGAGAGCCATCTGAATAGAATAGAATCAAAGTCCCTACTGGGTCTATGACTATGAGGGGCTGAGGGTCAAATTAAAAAGTAAAATAATGAGATCTCTACCCCTGCACTGGCCTTGATGCTATATATCCAACTAAAACTATTTCCAGGAGAAAATATCTTACCCTCAATTCCCAAAATTTCATGTGTTGGAGATCAAAATATCTCAAGTTGGAGTTTTGAACATCCCAAGCACCATGTCCTGAGTGAGATAGTGAGGCTCGAGACAGTTACTACGAGGGGATACGTCATCCCCACACCCAATGATTCTTATCACTAGATTCAGTAGGTCTAAATCTATCAGCTGTTTGAAGGGATGCAACTTGAAATGTGTATGTAGACCCTTTTGCCGTGTGAAGAAGCATGAATGTTTTATTTAGACTGAGTTTGCCCAACCTAATCAGATTTAATTAATTTTTCTGCTGTGAATGATATAGACTTTGAATCTTCTTACATTTCTGCAATGGTGTTGAGATAGTACCAACAAATAACGGTCACGGTACCGAAGGTGCAAACCCACGCCTAGCACTGCAACATGCACATCTACTGCTCGCCACCAAGCTTCGGGCGCGGGAGCGCCCAGGTAAAAACTATACATGGAAGCGATCGGGGTAGCGACACCATAAGCCCCTGGAATATAAGTGCTAGCCGCAAGGGGTCGGGTACCACTCAGCGTATATGCAACAGCATTGAGTGTACAGGTGTATCTCGAGTGTCACTAAAGGAAACAAGTACGGTCGCCCCTGGATCAGATATTCAGGGGCGCTCAACTAGGGTACTGAGCTGCGATTATAGGAGCAGTGATGCGACTGGCAAGCGGAGGATATACGAGAGCCGCAGGAGCAGCGATGGCCGCCCATGAACCGTGGATTCATGAGCGTTGGATTGGTAATGTGATTACTATAGATAGTCAATCACGAGATGGAACTAAGACTATGACATGGGTCATACAGATGTATATAAGATAGCATATATTCATACTTCTGACAGTATCGAAATCTGTCGAACACATCCTCTACATACTCCAACGAGACATAACAAGTGACAAGTAACTATGTTCCCATATAACTCATAATCTTAACAAATGGTGCTAGTTTATCATCTTACACGTCAACTCATGATATATTCAAAAAGTTATCATAAACAAAGATATATTCAAGAGATTGCGTGATGAGATGCTAAGATCGATTTTATCAAGTGAATAACGACCCTCCAGTCATTGAGGCTGCAGACTGGATCATCTCTGTTCTAATTTAATCTTTTTTAAACGTCTAGTTGGAGTTGGCCGGAGCCCAAATCTCGCCAACTACACCTAATTGGGTACACGGCTCACTTCATTGGTTGGCTGAGCGCGCCTGCTTCCCAAACAAAAAGTAGGGCCAAAAGTAAACTATGGAGCTTATGGAGCTTTTTTAATTCATTTTACTGTCCTCTATATGTCTATAACTATATAGGACATGCAGACTCCCTCTGTCTACTGGCCAAGGATACCTATTTATGGAATAGGATTCTTGTATACGAGTGGTATGTAAGTACTGGAAGTAGAATTGATAAAGTATTTAGTTAATCTATCGCGTATGATTCTCGCCATTGCAGCATCCTTCAATGCTGCGACCATACTCCTATTAATATATGTCTGCCAGCCTCGTCTATAGGCTAATATGGAACTACTACTACAGGGTATCTAAGATCTCCAAACGCATTACCGTCTTTACTACCAAGTAAGTAATAAATACAACCATAACTCCATTATGTTCAGCTACAGGAATGATTATGTTTGACCAACAATCTTAAAATTCAACACCTATGCCAGTAGTATATCCCCTCTTATGCCTCCCATACAGCTCCCCTCAAATAGAACCACGCTTCACAAGTCCTTATTCGATCATATACTTAGAGGAGGCCTTTGCCCTTCATTATCTCCCATCTCCCCTCTCCAGCCGACGAAACGATGGCCATTTGCGGGTTTAAAGCAGCCGGGAAAATTCACAAAAACCTCTAGGTGCGGGGCTCTTCTAATACCGACACTAGGAATAAATCCGAAGACATAGTGACCCTTCTGATGCGTTCGAAGAGGCCAGCTAGCTGGGCGCTGCAGACTTATGGGTACCTCGGGAAATTCACCCTCTGCCTTTCTAGCCTCCTTCCCGAAGGTCGTGCTGAAATGTCAGAAGAGTCTTGACAGAGCGTGATTGCTGTATGGTAGCTTAGCCCAACTTCTTTTGTGCCGTCCAGGGCGCTGGGGAGAAGCGTTGACTCATCAATAATTGAAGTCTTCCTGGCTAATATGCCGAAATTTCAGTCCTGGCGCCGACGAACGTTCCAGAGTTGAAAACTTCTCGAAAATATCGGTCTAAGCATGGTCTTCAGAGACCTGTTCCCCTCCCGCTCCACATCTCGGCGCCTGTTCTCCCTCAAGCTGTTTGTCCCATTAGAGAAACAGTCCCTCATCAACCAAGACCACAACTTTGTATATTATGACTTAATTTCCTCCTTGCGGCTATACGTAGCGCTGTAAATTTACAGTGAGTGATGGCCGGTAATCAATGAGGCAAGCTCCTGTATGCAATTGGGGTGACGCCTTTATCGGTTGTCGAGGCGAGATAATGCGTGGTTAGAAGGAGCTTGAGGACTCAGAAGATAATGGTGAGTGCTGCATGGTTGAGAAGTCGTGAATTGGAGATATGCATGTGTTTACTTTCGACTTCGATTTGGATGCGATTCTCCTTGGCTATCCCAGATATGCAGAGCATCCTGAGCCATTACACCGGCACCACTGGAAGGTGAAGAATTCGTCTTTGCCGGCGGTGGATATGTGGTAAAGCTATCTATTTATTTTTTATGTCTACCGGGCACTAGTTACATTTAAGCCCCATTGTTATGCTCAGCTATGTAGTATGGTAGATCTAGTAGCTGGTGCATAGGTAGTTATTATGGCAGCATGGCATTATGGCGCATGTAGGAGATCCAGTCCCTACATACCGATATTACATGTAGTAATGTCTGCAGTACGAGAGATGGGTTGTTGATATGGGACAGATGGCATGGCTGCTCAGTTGGTTGCACACTTTGGTGAGCTGCATACTGGTAACGTGATTGGTCTACAAGCGAACAAGCTAGGGGATAAGGGACGAGCTTCCCTCAATCTGTAACATAATAATTATCATAGTCACTTCACTTCTACACATTTATGAAGACATCTCTCCACATACTGTCTTAGCTGTTCCAGCGCAAGTGTACATTCCCAAATCATATACCCATCATAATACCCATCCCTGTGAGGACATGGTGACTACAGCAAAGCTATCCAATTACAGTTACATGTCTTCAGCGTGAGGAATGTTGCACGTGCACCCTTGGTGTGGTCCAGGCGTCAAAATCTTGATCGGAGTGAAAATTTGACATGGTGGAGCAATTTGAATCATTCCCTTATGGGAGAACTTCTTGAGTCTTGCAAAATTTAACTGAACTTGGCTCCGGGAGGATATTTCACTCGCAGGTGTGTAGAGGACATTGCGTACAGGTGTTCAGTCTTGCCCTCCCAGGTAACTGTTTGTATTCGACTCAAATCATATTTGTAGGTTGCAAAGAAGTGACTCATGTTACAGCTTGAGTTTACAGATGATAGGTTTATGGTATCACGTGATGTGGAGTCTGGTTGAGTAAGCGTTGGTCCCGGAAGCGAGCTGGTGGAGTTTTCATCCCAGCGAGGCTGCAGACCTCTTTCTCTCCTTGTCTTTTCTTTTAGTTATCGTGCGTAGCTTTAGGTCCAAATACAAAGCAATTACTCTTTTATATTTCGAGGGAGTCTTCTAGTGTCAACCTGAGGTCGGTCGTAATATAAGAAAAGACCAATACAACCTTTGCTGAGAAGCATATTATCTGCCAGTCATTAACTGCGTCGTCGCACCTCTGCTGCACGACTTAACCAACGACTTCTTGCCTACCATTCCAAGTAGGTGCCTTCTAGTCAGTTCGCTGATTGGAGTGTTTCCGGAGCAAGCCGGAAAATTATTAAAGTTGCGCCTACCTCTGTAGCGTTCTTTCTCTGCCTTGGAACTTCGCTAACTCGATTGCCATACATAAAAAACGGTCTCCATATTCCAACTTCCACGCATGTCAACGCGTCGAAGCGCACGAGAAATTACTACGCCTGCGCGTTACGGTTTTCCTAGCAGCACTGATCTGCCTTTACAGACCACTGAGGATACACTGAAAGAAGATAGGGAAGTTGAAGAAATGTCTGACTTCACCTTAGCTCAGCAAGCGACAATAGGTCAGATCGTCGCCGCAGCGCTCGCCAATTCTCAGTCAAGCAAGTCGCCAACCACCGAGGCTCGAACGACCCCTCGCGCCCTCACGGCTGATCTTCAACCTTCGGTTGACTACTATCTGCCTGTACTTGATCCTATGATCGCCGCTGTAGAGTCACACCGAGTCAAGTACCCGCGAAGTATGTTTACCGACCATCTGGGCGACATTGGATACAATGCTTGGAAGATGGAAATGAAGCTTTTCTTCGAAGAGTTTTCGGGGAACTTCCGACAAGGGCAAGCCCAAGTTAGGGCATACTTCAAGTGTACAGGAGGAGAAGCGAAGACAATCATCCTGCAGCATATGGATCCCGACTTCGGAGGAGTATTTGATGGAGCAGAAGATGTCCTCAAAGCATTGGATCAACGTTTTTTTGACTATAATCATGTGCAAGCTGCAAAATCTAAGTACCAACAACTTATCATGGGCAACATGACATACGACGAGTCCCGCAAAAAGTTCACAAACTATGCGAGTACTGCTAAGATTGCGCGATCCCGTTGGTTTGAGGATG